CTTTATCATGCATATAATAATATTTTGGTCTTTAAATTAATATTATATCTCAGTATATTTTTTAATTTAATACGTATCATATAAGAACATACGCCACCTGTGCCACAGCTTGATTGATGTCGCTCAATTTTTTTAATATATAGATAATAGTGGCAAATAAATAGAAACTACACAAATATAATAGATGGTGGTCATTTGGCATAATTTCAAGACTATTATAGATTATTTAGATTCAAATTTCAACCTTCTAATTTTGACTTAAATGTAGATTCTTTAGTAATCAACGTATGAATCAATAAGTTTACTTTTAAGACTTGACTTTTGACTTGTCTGATCTATCTCAATTTCGGAATTTTTGGGCTGTAGAAGGTTTTTAAAATCAAGGAGTTTACTTGTACGAAGAAGTTGACTTGATTGGATATGTTCACTTGTAAGACTAGCTGATTAATACGTTTGATTCTTCTCACTTTCATTAATTTGCTTAGCAAGTTCAGAATCGGAGCGAAAATCTTTCCATGCATTTAAAATTTTACACAAGTCTTCTGCAGATGGTCGTCTTGCTGGATCAGCATCCCACCATTTTTTTTATCAATTCACCTATTAAGGAGGGCAAAACACGGATTTCTGGTCGTTTTCCGTTACAGATTTTTATTGCAAGGGTTTTTCTTTCTTCCACATTATCACAATCGACATTACCGAAAGGAGAAATGCCAGAAAATACTTCGTACATAACCATTCCAAACGAATAAATGTCTGCAGCCTTTGTATGTTTCTTATAAAGTAAAACCTCAGGCGCTACATACGGAAGAACTCCGTATAGTTTATCTTCTCTCTCATTAAAATTGGCTGGTTTGCACAACCCTAAATCCGTTATGTAAACCACATCGCCTTCTTTAGAAAAAAGAACATTTCCAAGGTGAAAATCTCGGTGAACTAAATCGGATTCGTGGATTTTGCATAATCCAAGTGCGGCAAAAAGCAAACGTTTAAACTTCATGTGCCACGATATCTCGTGAATTTCCCTGGTATGATCCACAAATCTCATAACTATCATAAAGTTTGATTCTTTGTCTTTGGTGATTCCATAGCATCGAGGAATCTGAGAGTTCTTATCGTTAAATTTATGAAGGCTTTTTACCTAGATTTAAAATTAAAATATTTCAATAAAAATATTATTGTATAAAAAATATAATCTTTACCTCTTCCAAAAAGTCCCTAGATATTTCTTGAGAGTTATTTAAACATTTTAGCGCAACCTTTAATTTCCCAGATCTCTCCCATCGACCATCATTTCTCCAAAGGTTAATGTATCTCTCCCATGGACCATATTTTTTCCAAAACATGATATCTCCTTCCTTCCATTCAGCCAAATAGACTTTTGCCAAACCACCTTCACCTATTTTTTTATATTAATAAATTCTTCATATGGAATCCATTCAAGTACTTCAAGTTTACTTGTTGCTTTTAATTGTGATCTTTGTTTGAATTCATCAACATATTTATTTCCGCTAGTCCATTGATTAATTTCTTTTTTAAAACGACAAGAATTACAAGAATGACACCAGAATGAATTTGTGGTTTTTTTCCCACACTGTTTACATACACCTAAGTAATCTAATTATTTACATTATTTGCACAAAGTATTGGAAATATTGATAAACAGCAAATTAATACAACATTATAAAAATTTACTTACCACCTAAAAGTAAAGAATATAACTCATCAATAATAACACATCCGGTGTGAATTTTCACAGCAAATATTAACAAAAATATTATTACCATCTGTAATCGTAGTTAAAGTAAAAGAATATACCTTGGATCAATCAAAATCCAATCGATATAAATCTACTCAAATAAATATTAATTAAAACATGCTTACAGCCTGTGATCGTAGTTAAATAATATAGCTCAGATCAACTTAAACACCATTGTATGAATTTACTCAATAAATATTGATGAAATATGCTTACTCCCTAAAAGTAAAGAATATAATAAAAAATATTAAAAATCTTTTTGTTATGAATTTATTCAATAAAAACATTCTTACCTTCATTAACCATAATTAAAGTAAAGAATATAACTCAGATCAATTAAGAAACCTTTGATGTGAATTTACTTAACAAATGTTAATGAAAAATTCCTACTGTCTGTAATAGTTGATAAAGTAAAGAATAACACAAATCAATTAAAACACCTTTGCTCTGAATTTACTCAACATATATTAATGAAAATATGCTACCGTCTGTAATTGTAGATAAAGATAACTTAAATCAATTAAAACACCTTTATATAAATTTACCCAAAATACATTAATGAAAATATTCTTACTGTCTATAATCGTAGTTAAAATAAATAATATGATTCACATCAACTAAAACACGTTTTATATGAATTTACTCAACAAATATTAATGGAAATATGCTTACAATCTGTGGTTGTAGTTAAATAATATAACTCGGGTCAATTAAACACCTTTGATATGGATTTATTAAACAAATATTAATAAAAGATTCTTACCGTCTGTAATAGTAATTAAATTAAAGAATATAAATCAGATTAATTAAACCTTCTTTAATATGAATTTACTCAAAAAATATTAATAAAAATATGCTTACAGTCTGTAATCGCAATTAAAGAATTTAAACACCTTTGACATGAATTTATTCAACAATATTAATAAAATATCCTTACTTTCTGTAATTGTAGTTAAAGTAAAAAATATAACTCAGATCAATTAAAACACCTTAGATATGAATTTACTAACAAACATTAAAGAAAATATGCTTACCATCTGCAATTATAGTTAAAATAAAAATCATAGCTTAAATAAAAGATAACACCTTTGACATGAATTACTTAACAAATATTAAAGAAATATTCCTACCATCTGTATTCGTAATTAAAGTAAATAATATAAAAAACCCCTATTATATGAATTCACTCAATAGATATTAACAAAATATGCCTACTTCCTAAAAGTAAAGAAAATAATTTAAATATATTGAAACACCATTTTGTAATGAATTTACTCAAAAAATATCAATGAAAGCATTCTTACCTTCAGTAATAATAGTTTAAAGTAAAGAATATACAGTGTGGTGCAAAAAATTTTGGAATTTTTTATTTATTCATTACTCAAAAACTACTGCATAGAAATTAAT